TAAACTAAGATCCAAGAGATGCATTTGTACAAGCAGTTCAGTAGAATTTTCACATTCCCCAGAAACAAATGATTCCTTTTCATAGTTATAACTTCAAGTTGAGAGTATTTTGAAAATACAAATCTTAATGTTAATCTAAATTTTAGTTTTGTTCATTATCCTGACTAGCTCTTCTTCAATTTTAAGAAGTTTAAAAAAAATCAACTAATTAAAAAAACTATTTTTTCTTTAATATACTGTGAAGTAGGGATTACAGCATAAAGAGAGTTATTAACATAGTGCCTTGTAGTTCAGGTTTCTACTTCAGAATTCAAATTTATGATATTTACATGTAAAGTTTGATGTTAAATTTTTCATTTTAAGTGGTAGTCATCAATGCTAGAAAATTCCAATGTAGCATTTTTTAAAGTAAATTTAGTTGTTTATGCATTTTGTAGTTTTATTATGGCTGGTTTGACCTAAGGTCTAGACAGACCAACTGTGCCCTTGGATTAAGGGGTGTTTTTTTAAAAAAATAATTTTTTTCTTTTTTCTTTATTGCACTTTATCTGTTTCCAGTTCACAGAGTTGAAAAGTAGATAACTGTTGCTGCTCATATTTTCTTTTTCTGATAGAAAGATAGATTTTTAAGCATGAAGGGCTAAGTCTCAGTAATTTGCAAAATTAAGCATAATAAATTTTTCAGGTCAACTTTTAAAATTAAAGTTCTTTTTTAGTCTTTATAATCTTTCTGTTCAAACAAACCACACCCAAGTTGGGGCACTACAATTTTAAAAAATTAAATTGGATTGATGGATGATTAAAGTTTATATTTTATATTTTATAATAACAATATAATAATGATACAACTCCCAGCTCATTAGTGGGTCTAGAAGAAGTAAATACACATTACATAAAATTAAGGTATTTGGGTTTACATAGTATCTCTTCTCAAAATAGATCAAATTTAAAATGTAAAGTACTTAAAATGTTCATGAGGATACTTATTCAGTCATAAGGGAAATGGTTTTTAATCTAAATTTAGATTCAGAGCCCTTTGACGGAGCTACTGTCCTTCCAGACCCAGCCCAAGCCCCTTTTCAGTGTCTTGAATGAATTAGCTCCAAGATTTATTAATGGCTCGAGAGACACTTTTAAGAACCCCCTTTTCCATCTCTAGCTAGGGCCAACCATTGTCGAGGATGAATAAACTCTGTGCTGCCCTCCAAATCAAAGCAGAAATGAGGACTAGAACAACAGCAGTATGCATTCATTTATGTGTTCCAAAACCCTAAGAGAAAAGCTGAGTATATCTTTTTAAACTTCTGTTTGCAAACCTTGCGTTGCAATGTGTGCTCAGGGTATTTGCAGGGTCTCTTTAGAATATATATAAAGGTGATACTGTTCACAAGTGATTGCTAAGGAGCCTGTATCACTTTGGCCTGATTCCCTTACATTCATTTTGTCCTTATTTTCCATATCCTGATTGTTTCAGCTAAGTATGGAAAGTGATCCTTAATTTTTCACTCAGAAAAATAGGCAGTATTACTGCATATGTTACTACTTAGATCCTACTACCTTCCTCTTTAGTAACAGGGATGGTGCTTTAAAAGGCTGATTTAAGGTTGCTTATTGTGGCTATTAATATTATAATTTTTTGATTCAGAGATGTTCTGTGAACATCCAGCACATGACTGGGTCTTGAATGAGTTGTGGAATAGAGTGATATCTCAAGCAAGCCAATTTTCTATCTTCTGACTCCCTGTTTAGCCCCATACTTTAAAGGGACAGACATCCCGTCTCTCATACAGCTAGGACAGTAGTAATAGCTTTCATTTAGCAATGTTTACTTTATAGCAGGCATTGTGCTAGATCCTTTCATGCCTGTAACATAATATACACACACAATTCTATAGGGAAGAAAACATGATTGTCATTTTACAGACAAAATGTAACTTGCTCATGATCACACGTGAAGAGAGGCAGCTGGAATTCAGTCCCACGTTTTTTGACAGCAAACGCTAATCACTTAACTACATCCTACCCCACAGAACTATTGCTGTCCAGAACTCTGTGAGGCCCAGATCTACGGATCATTGATCACATGAATAGCCTTTCTTAGTGCTTGGCACCACTTCACAGAGGCTGTCCCTACTGGCTGAACCTCAGAACCATTATGTGGCACTAGCTTCAGAAGGAGCAAATGGTGATTATGGTGACAGACCACAAGGAAACAGAATGCTATTGAGAGAAACTCAGTGCTGCATCATTTTATCTGCACAACAAAAATGGTGCCCTACCACTACCATTACCACTACCTTTGGTTGTTAGGGATTCCCTCAGCACTCATCTTACTATTCCTATCCTCCTTTTCTTTCCCTGGTGGTAGGGTTACAACAGTGACTTTGGCAGGGTTAACAAGTAACCCTGTTTACTTTAACCCTGTTTCCTTTGGTTGTCAATAAATAACTATAGCCTGTTAATAATTTTGAGTATGTTTTATGTGGCCTTAGGTAATCTGAGATAATTTTACATGTCTGGCATTCGAGATAAGATCAATATCCCATCATATTCTCTATATAACTCTCTATTAACAAAAAGTAGATCATATAAGGAAAAAATTAAGTATGTAAAGTAGTTTACTAGGGCATTTTATAAATTATGTATACTCATGTATTCATAATTATCATAAAAACTAAATATCAGTTTTTGCTCAATAATGGAAAAGAATAAACTTGATATATGTTTTCTTGCTTTAAAGTATACCAGTTCTGTCACAATGCCTTACACTGTAGTATCTTTACATTTTTATGTGAGCTAATTTACTTTTTTTGTTTCGTTTTGTTTTTTAATTTATGTTTAATACTTTTTGGAGCAGTTTTAGGTTTACAGAAATTAATAGGAAGATATATTTACATATTTTTAGTACTTTTAAACTGCTAGCTTTACAAGGATAGACAGGTATTCCAATTTATTTTTAGCATATCAGAGTGCCAAGCCCAACACTTTGTATGTAATAGATGCTCACTAAATATTGTTTACTTAGTGAGTAATTAGTCTGTACTAGGCTGAACAGTTTTGCAGTCCTAAATTGTTCTTGCCATCATTTCACTCTGCATAATTAAAGATGCTTTACTAAAATGATTAAAAATGTGTTACTGAATTTTACTAGTGTAGGTTCTAAAGCAGTGAGATGAAAGAGACCCTGGCTGTATCTCTATGAGGAAAACAGTGAGGATGAGTTTCTCACCGTGGGGTATACTTGGTGGATTTTATGTGTAACCAAATTAATTGACTTCACTTAGGAAGGTTAGATTTATGATTTCCATATAGCCCTTTATAACTTTTTTCTTTTACTCTTATCCTGCCGACTAATAATTTTTCCAGTGAGGGACAAATACCATATGTTTCTCACCTTTAACGGGAACATAACAAAAGAAAAAAGCAAGCAAAATAAAACCAGAGACATTCAAATTAAGAACAATCTGTCAGTAACCAGAGGGGAAATGGGAGGAAATAATGGGGGGAAGGGTTTTCAGGAACTACTATAAAGGACACATGGACAAAAAAAAAAACCCAAGGGGGAGGGTGGAAGCAAGGGAGGGAGGTGGGGATGGCTGGGGTTGGGGGGAATATGCAGACAACTGTAACTGAACAACAATAAAATAATTTTAAAAATGTTTATTGTGGAGTTACCTATATATATAAAAAAGGTAAAATCATTCATATCCCTATTATCCAAATATAATCACTCAATATTTTTGTGTATTCTGTTTTTTTCATCTTTGAAGCAATTTCATCATGGCCATGCGGTTGCTACCCTATATGTTTCTAAAACAGAGTACCACCAGGTATCTTGTGGATTGTTATAAACTATTTCTTTATATTGATGTGCTGTGTTTTATTTAATTATCTTTCTACTGTTGGACATTTAGGTTGCTTTTAGTTTTTCTGTATCATAAAAATGATCTTTTTAACATAAATCTGTTTGTTTTTAGTTACATAAGACAGATTCCTAGAACTAATTAATAAGTACAGATTTTGAACTCTAAGTTCTTGATACATATTACCCAATAGGTTTCCAGAAACTTTCTGGCAGTTCACACACTCATCAGGAAGGAGTGTGTGAAAATGGTGTTTTATTGAACCATCATCAAAATTGATTATTACCTCTATACACTCTTAAGCACATACTATATAGACTACTGATTTTAATATATTACTGTCATCCACTGTGCTTAGAAAAAGTGTATAAGTTAAATACTTTGGTTTGCTTTCAGAAAGAATTACAAAGTATTTTTAAGGGTCACTGTAGTGTGGAGACCACATGTTACAAAACAGTTTCCACCTACATGTAAATGTACTTCAAGTCTCATTGTAAACTCTGCATACTTTTTCTTAAGCTTGACTTACGTTGTCTTCTTTATTGATAACTACTTCATTTTAACTTTTCTAAAAGTGTTTGGGTGAAGCATTATATGTCTGTTGTGGCTTTAACATTCCCTGTTGTAGAAATCAATCTCATTTCTATTTGCTCTTGTAACTAAAGTTAATAAACATTCAAAATTTACTTTATTTACTTATGCTTTTATGTGGACTTCTCTACAAAAGCAACTTTCTTCCTCATCGGATGAATCTGAGTGGTTTCATTTTAGATAGTAGTAGTCATATGGGTGTTAGAAAGGCAGTAGCCTTGGAAGAATACCAAAAAAAAAATCATTTTTAAGTGTTAGCCTTGTTCTGTAGTGAAAGCATTTTCATTCCAAAGGCCATGGTGAGTCTTAGTTCCTTGCTGGTACTTGTTTTGATTACACTGCAGAGGGACTTTATGACTTGATGTGTGTATATTCACACATATGCATTTAAGGTGATTTGAAGTATCCTATAGGGAAAATGTAGATATAAAATAACTCACCTCTTTAAGCACTTCAGTCTTTCCTTCTCTGTAGAAATTGTGTCAGCATAATACTGGTTCTATTTAGAAAATTATTTTCTTCTTATATAGTTATTTTGCATTTCAGGGACCTGATAGATCTCAAGTCTGTCTGTGCCGTATAGCTGCACAGGTATGTATACGAATTACCTATAATTATGTAAATCTATGTGTTAAATGACATGTTATTACATTTTTGTGTATTAAAAATGCTTACAAATTTCATAATATGAAAATGTTAATTTTTGAGTACTTATAAATATCGAGAGCTTCAAAAGATAGTACATTTTATGCATACCTTGCATTTCACTCTATTGTAAAAATCAAATAAACATTTCTAAGATTTGATGAGGCAGAATAATTTTAATTACAAAGCATTCAGCTGGTAAAACATTAGAAAATGTTTTATGGAACTGTGTTGTTAAATCAACTGCTGATATGGGGTCAAATTATTGCAAATCCACTGTTTTTTGACATTATTGCTTTATTTTCAAACTTTTTTTTCTGCCTTAGAGTTTATTTTCTGTGGTTGTTGCTTTAGGTAAGGAGTGGTTACAGATGTACTGCCTGCTGCCCTGTCTCAAGCAGTAGAGGAATGAAAAAAAATGTTTGCACCTGTTTAAAATATCAACCATGCGGTGTTGTGGTGCCTGGGCAACAGGCAGGAATTCTCAAAAGCTTGGTTGCACCTGCTCAATTGTTGCCTGCAGCTGTGTCGTGTGTGAGTGAGCGCACAGAGAAGCATGTTAGCAGTTTGCTTGTCCTGTTACGTATTTTGTTTACTCTGAGTTTGAAAGATTGTTACTTGATGTAGACCTTGAAGTATTACATTGATTTATTGTAAAACTGACTGTTTTAGCTCCCAAATATTTTCTCCAAACCCTTCATTCTGAGTCTCAAATATTTTTTAGATCACTCCCCTAGATAATATTTATGTTAACTTCTCTAAAGGATACCTGGGGAGAGTAGATCTCTACAGATAAATGGGTTGGTAATAATTTTTGTCCTGGTAGACACATTTTGTTTTTGGCTCAATTTTGCCATGTTGGCAACTCCACTGTGTGATGCTGGATGTAGTTATTGATCCATTTAGCTGAACAGATTTGAAAGCATTTGGCTATTAGTGGACACATGGGGAATATTCAGAAAATTTAAGAGTATATTGTAAGATGAATTCTTGATTTGGGCATGTGTCTCTGTTGTAGTTGAGTGGAAATGAGGAAGAGGAAAAAGTGAAAATTAAATAACAATGTTAGAAAAGGGGATACAGTCCAGATGTAGTTTATAGGCTGAAATACTATCCTTTACTTTCATCAAATTCTAGGTACCTGGTATTTTCCTAAGTACTGCTGTCAATGATGATGTTTCTTTTAGTTAATTGTTCTGTATAGTTTCTGACAAATATCTGTATTTTTTATATAGACAAGCTATTATAGACTGTATCTTAACTAGTTGAGTTCTATAATGCAATATTAAAAGCTGCAACTCAATATAAAAATATTTAGTTAAATAATTTATTTGGTAATCCCTAATTTCCCATATTGAAAACTTTTTCAAATGACTGGCATTTTTCTCATTATCATATTAAAAATGCTAAGGCATTTCTATCAGTGTTCAGTAACATAATATTCTAGAGCTGGTGTATCTTTTCCATTTATTGACCCATTTAAATTTATTTTATTAAATAAATACCCATAATATAAATTTTAACTAACTGTCAATAGGAAACACAGGTGCTCAGATAAGAAGAGATTGTCCACAGCCTCTTACTACAATGCCTTGTAAATAGTAAGTGGTCAATAAATATTAAACGAATATATATATATATGTATATATATATATATATATATATGAATAAAACATGTCTGGGATTATATTAGAAATAGAAGGCTAAAGAGTCCTAGAAACCTGTTACTCTAAATATTTTTGATGGGTCTTTATGGAGTTCCTTTAGTTCTCATAATTCTGATTAGACAGAGATGAGACTACTGATATATTTTGTCCTTAAAATGAGAAATGAATATATAAGAATTGATCATCATTATAACCAAGAATTGACATCATACTGTTTTCAATATGCTTTATGTTCATTTTTGCTGACTATGAGAATACTCTAAGAATATATTATTTTATTTCATACACAGTGCTGAGTTATTTAATGACTAAGTTAAATGGAACTTGTCACTTTAGAAATACTTTGCAGCATAGAAATAAACTAATCTTTTATGTTATATGATTAATGCTGTAGGGTTTTTGAGCAATGACATGTTCTCTTCCATCTTTCCTCTCTCTCTCTAAACCCCCCTCTCCTTTCTCTTTCTCCCCCACTCATACCCTCATCTCTGGCTCACTGAAATACACACAAAACAAAGTATCTCAACTTTCTTCAGGTCATGTAGGATCAGATCACACTAAAAATCTGTAACTGTTTTTGATAAACAGAAGTAATGGGCTCTGTATTTATTATACACATGTATAACTAAGGTTTCTATTATTTACTAAATTCTAACTGTAAATAAGTAGCAATAAAGCCAAGCAATGGTAGAGTCAAAGTAGGGTAATTAAGACCTGCTTTAGATAGGTCACTCTAAAATTCCATTTTGTGTGGCGAGAGTCAATTGCATATGAATGGTAGAGATTGCATATTGAGTCAATAACGATTGTTATCAAATTGTCTTCTTTAGGCTTCTCAAATTTTGCTACCACTGGTTGATGATATTTATGGCTGCTGCTATGCTTTGGAAGGACCTTTCCTCTGGGACCAGTTTTTCTTTTTCTTTTGTTTACACCAATGGGTGAAAGGCTAATATCAAGAACATTATTATTATTATTATTATTATTATTATTGGAACCTTAGTGGGATAGATTAAACCATATTCCCCTGTTGCTCTCAATGTTAGAAATTAAGAGATGAGCCAAGAACATTAGCTTCAATATAGTTTAGCTAGTATACTAAACAAGTAATAGCAGCAGCTCCAGTGACTTATACTAGGAATTATAGTGTGGAATCCCAAGGAGGGATAAATCACCAAGCCCGAGGATTCTGAAGCATAATTGCAGAATATTCTGTGTTTTCAGAGTTAAAGAAATAAAGGAATAAAATCAACATTTATTTAGAACCTAGCATGTCTAGATACAATTTTTCATTCTTCTCTTTCTCCCTTCCCTCTCCTCCTCAATTCCTTAATTCCTTTTATTCCACATGGTAAATGGATGCCTACTATATGGTTGGCACAGTGCTTAGGCCAACAATAAAACAAAGTTCTGGCCTTCAGAGAGCACACAGGCTACTAGGAGAAAAATGTATGTCAGCAGAGCTTGTTTTGGCTTCACCACTTATTATCAGTATAGACCCAGTCAAGTTATCTGATCTTTCTCTCCTTTTGTTACTTCTTTTTTTTTTTTAAATGGGAAAAACAATAGTATCTACTTCATATGTTGTTGTGTTGAGTTAGCTATAATCCAATACGTGTAAAATTCTTAGTTTGGTACTTGGCACATAGCAAGTGCTCAGTAAATCTTAGCAACACTTTTATTGTTTCTATCAACACTATCATCACTAATACAACTTAGATGCTGAAAAAAGACCATGCAATTGCCTGAGAGCAGGGATCCTGGACTGGGCATTGTCATATAGATTGTCTTAAAGGCTCCAGTCCAAGTTATCTTTCCTTCTAAGGCTTGAGAAGAGATTCTAGAAATCATATAGTGTTAGAACTTGAAGGGACCTATCTAACGTCTTAAAGAAAATCAGTTCAATTCATGTACTTGTCAGTGTTATATAGTCTAGTAGGTGCGATACGTGGGCTTTGAATCTGGACCTCTCTATTCTTGATCTAGTGTGAGATACTACATGTGCAAAAATATTGAGGTTAATTTTTTTTCTGCTTCTGATTGGAGAGTTCATTGTTTGATTGTTTATCTCCAGAAAGTAAATGGACTGTGTCAAGTTGCTGGAACACTAGCCACAAGACAAGGTATCAGTGTACTGAATCTAAAAGACCTTCAGGTATTCTTATAATGGGATTAATTTTATATGAATTGATTGAAGCCTTTTAGTTTGTGAATAACTAGTTTGTTCTTAAGAGTATATACTGAGTCAGGTTTAGCAAAACATTAATATGTAAGTGACTTTAGATGCTTAGAGAAGTCTGTACATACTTTAAGTAAATCAGCATCTTGAAGGTCAAGGATTCCTGAACTCTAAATTTCTTGCCTGAGTTTGAATTTAGAATCTTTGAGGTCCAAATGACATGTAGTGAAATCTCACTTGCACAACTTAGTAGCTATGTGATCTAATCAAAGTTACCTAACCTTACTAAGCCTCAAGTGTTATCTAAAATATGGTGGTAATATGGGACAACATCAAATTAAAAAACTTCTCCATGGCTAAAGAAAACATCAGGAAAATGAAAAGGGAACCAGCTGTATGGGAAAACATATTTGCCAATGATACCTCAAACAAGAGTTTGATATCCAAAATATATAAAGAACTCACACAACTCCACACCAGGAAGACAAATAATCCAGTTAAAAAATGGGCAAAGGACCTGAACAGACACTTTTCCAAGGAGAACATACAGAGGGCCCCAGAAACATATGAAAGGATGCTCAACATCACTAGCTATCAGAGAGATGCAAATTAAAGCCACAATGAGATACCACTTCACACCAGTCAGATTGGCCATCATAAACAAAGCAACAAACAAGTGTTGGAGAGGTTGTGGAGAAAAGGGAACCCTAGTGCACTGTTGGTGGGAATGCAGACTGGTGCAGCCACTATGGAAAACAGTATAGAATTTCCTCAAAAAGCTTAAAATGAAACCTCCTTTTGACTTGGTGATTCCACTACTGGGATTATACCCTAAGAATCCTGAAACACCAATCCAAAAGAATCTGTGTACTCCAGAGTTCATAGCAGAATTATTTATAATAGCCAAGTGCTGAAAACTGTAAATGCCCATTAGTAAATGAGTGCATCAAAAGACTATGGTACATTTACATAATGGAATACTATGCAGCGGAAAGGAAAAAGGAGCTCCTACCCTTTGCAACAGATTAGATGAACTGAAGAGTATTATGCTGAGTAAAATAAGCCAGTTGATGAAAGACAAATACCATATGATCTCACCT